AAGGGTTATCAACTGAATACTTGCGCCAGTCGGGATTCAATTGTTACATCTATTTTGGAGTATCCCATAAGGGATAACCACTCAGATTAGAAGCTATTCATATGAGCTACGCTTGGTCTATATTACCCGGAAGATTTATTACTCGGGAGCATGTTATATGCGTCATCCTTTAAAGGGTGTCGAAGGCATATGTTTTGGCCTAGGCCTAATATATCTGCAGCCCATATTTTCAGGTGTGGCCTGTCACGTTCTTTTAGGGACTTAGGCACTTTTTGCTTAGGCCAAAGTGCGCGTGATCAAGTGCCCAATACCTTAAAATCCTTTTATACCGCAGTTACTTAACTTTTTAGGAGTTGGTACAATGCATCTTAAAAGGTGTCAAACAGTAAAGCTTTATATAGCTGTCCCGCTGACTTTTTTATATATAAGTCAAGGTGCTGTTTGGGTTTTTAAGCAATTGATTGGATACAATATCATTGCTTTTCGCCACGTAAGTGTGCATTTTTATTGACCAATATTATGGCTTAGGCTGATTATATATTGTGGTCATTTTCTAGGCGGTTGGTAAATCCTTTATGAGTTTATTTACTCGGATTTTACACCACATATGCCATATATTTCCAGGTGTGGTGAAACCATGTGTCTTCTAGGGACTTAAGCACATCTGTTAAAGCAGTGTGCGCATGGCGTATGCCCAATACTTTGGAAATTTCTTTATTCACAATATACAAGCTTCTTTATAGCTATTTTGCTATATCACTCATCATATTTTACAAAGCAGTTGGTATATCACTCGGATCATGTTATTTGGAGGATTCACACCGCATATGCTATATATTGATATCAAGTCACTTGGTTGATTACGATTATCAAAACCACTCGGTTGGTTGGATTATTTATTCCTTGACTATATGCTTGGTTTGTTCAATTAACCACATTGTCGGGGGCTACACCTATTAGGTGCATCTAGTCGGTGCACCTGACTTTATTTTCCAGCCCTCCACAGTCTTCAGATTTGGTAAAAGTACTCGGGAGACCATGACAAAGATGATTGAAGCACTCGGCTTTGGAGTAATCTGGTTCGAGAGAAGATTATCTTTTCGACTGCGAAGGTCTCAGGGGCTACTGTGGATATTATGGGTACCCCATACCCATACGGCATGGTTATCCGACTAGTCATAGGGGATAACTTATATCTATGGAATATGTAATAGATCATGACTCGGGTATTACGTTTCCTTATATATTACGGAACAGCCTAAAGTCCTGGTTTGATAATATTGTAAAGTAGATTTAGGAAACCGATACCGTATTGGTTAAGGTTTCTATCTTGTAATCCTGCCCCCCACCCTATATAAGGTGGGCAGGAGGCCCTCTAGGGGGCATGAGACAACCTGATCGTCAGATCAATATACACCCGGCGGATTCAAATCCCCAAACAGGAGTAGGGTATTACCTCTCATCGAGAGGGCCTGAACCTGTCTAAATCATTTGTCTCCGCATCCATCCACTTTTAGGTCTCGTGCGCTACCCTCTTTTATTAATGCCGAATTCATGTTTCGACAGGTCCTTTGGTCCAGAAGCTTCCTGATTGATCCAGTGGATTTCACTCTTATAGATGAGTCTCCCATGATTGGTCCAACGGATACCATCCTCGTAAAATATCGAGCGGTTTATATTTTTTTTTCAATTGCATTTGATAGCCGTTGCAATTCCAACAACGTGGCTCATTTTCCTTGAATAAAGTTGGTTGCTTTTATCTATTAAGATATCCTACACTACCTGAAAGCAGCCAACTCTATTAAAACTAGGAAGGAAGCCCGCGCATCTGCGCGGGCATCTTATTTATTGTTTTACGATTTATGAAATAATGCTAAAAGAAATCATATCTCATCATTTTTGTGTTGTGAGATAAACCATAGGCTTTAATATGCTTAGTAAATGATAATAATGTCTCCAGGATTACAAGAAAATCACTATCCTGATTACGTATAAATTCTCCCGCTGTCACCGCAACTTATTATTACTGTTTTAAAAGTTGTGTACCTATTAATAGATGAAACTACATATGTACCAATAAAATAAGCATCATTGTACACTAAAACATTCACTACTTATCTAAGTGTTCATGTCTCACTTATTTCCAAATCCATATATAAATATCGTAAAAATACCACTCATACCAATTAATGAAATAACACCATTAAAGACATTGTTACAAAAATGATTTTCCTAGACGAACACCCAAAAACTAATAGGTTACAGGCAGATCATAAGTGTCCACGTCTATAAAAATCAACCCCCATTTTCACATGCATTTGTTTAAGAGACCCGCATGCAAATATTTTCTTAGGCAGGCCTCTTAAATGGCTTGCATGCAAAAATAGGTTATGTTCACATGCAGGCCTGTTAAGAGACCCGCCTATGAAAAGTTCAACTGACCTCCCTCCACCTTAAATTAGCTAACTCTCCTTCATTCTTATCCACTCCTCGCTCACTCTCTCTCCTTATCCTCTCCCTCATCTCACAGTGACGGAGCGGCGGTGGGTTCGACGGCCGGAGCTTGCGAATCCGGCAATGGCAGCGGCTGCGGCGAGCTCTGGCAGCGATGGGCTTTGGCTCTAACCTTGCGGATTCTGCCACCTCTCCTCCCACGGATATGACAGGGGCGGATCGACCAGCGGCGGGCAACGGCAACTGCAGGAGCCATGGCGGTGGCTATTTCAAGTTCGAGCGGTAGTGTGCTCGGCCTCCAACCACGCGGATCCCGGTGCCTCTCCTCCCTCTTTCCCGGGCTTCTTGGATCCCGACAACCAGAGGTCGTGGAGCGGCTGATCCGTCAGCCATGGATCCGACCAGGGCAGATCCACCGAGTATATTTATTTTTCCAAACTTATTTACAATAAATAATCACCAATAGTTTTGATCCAATGGTTAATATTATCGGGTCCACCATTTTAAATGAAAACTTACCGTGAGATGTTTTTCTTTTCCTCTAAACTTTATTTAAATTAATTATTAGAGCACCGTATGGCGACTTAGGAGCATTTGTGGGAGTCTCACGTGGCGGCTTGAAAGTGTTTGTAGGATTCTTAATGGACTTTTAGCATATAATAATTAAAGGAATACAACTAATCTCAAATTGAATACAAATATGATTTAAAAGATAAATATTTAACGACCATTGATCTGATATTTGATATTTATATTATAGATCTAGTTTCTATTTGCATATATTTGTGAAGTAATATATTTTATTTTACATTATAGGAACATATGTTTTAAAGATTGTCGATAATTTTCCCAATGATACTTCATACGTATTTTTTTGGCTTTATCTTTTTTATCCTAAGTACGTGCGTATATTTTTCTTAGTAAGCTTTATTTTTTATAAATATAATTTAGAAGATAAATGTTCAAACACCATTGATTTGATATTTGATATTTATATTATAGATCTCGCAGTTTCTATTTGCGTATATTTGTGAAGTAATATTTTTTATTGTAGGAATATCTGTTTTTAAAAACCGTCGATAATTTTTCCATTGGTACTTAGTACGTATTATTTATTTTTCTTTTTTATCCTAACTATGCGCGTATGTTTTTCATAGTAAGCTTTATTTTTTTCCCAATCATACGTACACTACTTATGGTTTTTTTTTTGCCACAGTTAAGTACATTTAGAATTGATCTAATAATCTAAAATAATAGGCCTACCAATTTAAATAAAAATTAATGATGAGATTAGACAGTGTCACGTGATAACCTACAAGCGTTGGTAGAAATGGCATATAAGATATAATATAATATAGTAGTAAAAATATAGCCAATATAGGTCTGGAATTGGTGATTTAATTAAAAAAAACCTATAGCTGCTAAAGTGTATGTGTAGATCCTTAAAAAATAATTGTTTGTTTACAACACCAGATCACTTCTATTATAAATTCCTAGCGTTTGCACATTCACACTTAGATTAGTCTCTATGAAAAAACTGATCTAAAAATGTATGATAATAAACTATGGTGTACATGTATCGTGATTTGGAAAAAATATGGAGAATTAATTAGGATCTGGACAACATCAATCGAGCTCGCGGAGGCATATCAGTCTCCATGAAAATGAGAACAAATTACGATGTACTCTATCTGTTTCTAAATATTTGACGCCGTTGACTTTTTTAAATATGTATTGTTCGTCTTATTAAAAAAATTTAAGTAATTATTAATTCTTTTCCTATCATTTGTTGTTAAACATAATTATACGTATACATATAGTTTTACATATTTCACAAAAATTTCTGAATAAGACGAACGGTCAAACATGTGCTAGAAGGTCAATAGTGTTGAATATTTAGAAACAAAGGGAGTACATGTATTGTGTAATTAGAAAAAAAAAAAGAGAGAGAATCAAGAGTTGGATGGCATGAATCGAGCTGACAGAGGCATAGGCATAAGTACGTACGTACTCGTGGGGCCGGGAGAGTAAGGTGAGGAGAGATTTAGTTTATGATCCAATGGTTAATATTAGTGGTCCACCACTTTAAATGAACACTTACGGTGAGATGTTTTTCTTTTTCTCAGAATTTTATTTAAATTATTAGAGAGCTATTTGGTGACTTAGGAGCGTTTATAGAAGTCTCAGGTGTCGGCTTGAGAGCGTTTGTAGGAAGTTTAATGGACTTTTAGTATATAATAGATATATTACGTGGCCTGAAAGCAACCAACTTTATTCAAGGAAAATGAAACCACTGCACCAAAAAAGACTAAAATGCTACTACCTTCGTTCGTCTGTTTTATATTATAAGTCGTTTTAACTTTTTTTTCTAGATAAACTTTTTTAATAGTCAAATTTATTTAAGTTATTTTTCCGAACATACAAAGTTATAATGGATAATGGCATGATTCAATCAACCCTTTTATTATCCACTCATTTCATTGCTCTGCTACCTTCCGAATACCTTTTTTTTTCTATTTTTTATTGTTTGTTTGACTAGATTGCTTTGACTATCATATAAAAGTATCTGCATATGCATGGGACCTTTTCATCTAGAACTCTCCTTATATGTGATTGGTATACACACAAATGATCCAACGGTCTATATTTATTCCTACTCTCATCCTAAGGCCATTAGTATTCCAGATGACGTGGCTCATCATTTTTTGAGACAGCTTGTTGCTTTCACATATGTAGATGTGATAAGTAATGTCTAACAGATGTCGTAACATATCCTTCTCTTCACCAGGAGAAGGGAGCAATAATTAATAATACTATCTGAACTTCTTCAATTCCTCCACCGATTCATGCGGTATCGGCCCCAGTCTGGGGGCTACTCATCGTCATTGGATGAGATGAGGTCGATCGCTGCCTGGAGGTTGGCCACGACTTCCGAAATGGCTGGACGGCCCTGGGGCTCCAGCCGCACGCAGCAAGCTGCAGTCTGCGCCACCAGTTCCACTGCCTGGAGCTGCCTCGGCGTTGGCTCCGGCGTCGGGCGCCTGTCCAGCACCTTCCGCACCTCCCCTGCCTCGACGATTGGCAGGGCGAAGGCCAGCAAGCTCGTGGGGATGATGCCACCGTCGTCCTCTTCTTCCTTCTCCTTCCGTTTAAAAATTGGTTTTATCCCTGTCAATACCTCCAGCATCACAACCCCGAAGCTGTACACGTCTATCGTTGGCTTCACACTGTGCGTCACAAAGTACTCGGGGTCGATGTATCCTAGCGTGCCGTCAATGGACAGATCACAACAGTGATCCGTCCCGTCCCAGGCGACCGACAACCCAAAGTCCGACAAGCGCGGCACCCAGGCCTCGTCGAGCAGGATGTTCGACGGCTTGATGTCGCGATGGATCACCGGCCGCGTAGGGTGGGTGTGCAGGTACTCGATGGCCCGCGACACGCCCAGCAGTATCCCCATGCGCATGCTCCAGGATGTGGCCACCGGCGAGGAGGACGACAGCGAGCCATGAAGGTGCTTGTCAAGGGAGCTGTTCCTCATGTACTCGAAAACGAGGAGAGGCTCCGTTGTCATCGGCGTCTGCAGGCCGGCATCGGCGACTTTCTTTTTCCAGAACCATGTGGAGCGCTTGTTATTAGCCTCCTGCTTGTGGCGCTCCACGCAGCAGCCAAAGAGACGGATGATGCCCTTGTGACGGATGCGTGAGAGGATGATGCGCTCCGCATTGAACTCATCATCCTCAATAGATGTGTAGTGAAACTCGGGAAAGTGCTTGATGGCCACCTCTCTCCCGTCAGGAAGCCTTCCCATGTACACATTGCCGACACCGCCTCGACCGATTAGTCTGTCGGAGGCGAAGTTGTTGGTCGCCGTCGCAAGCTCTGCTATGGTGAATTTCTCGCCTTCTTCGCCACGGAATACCACCTCTTGAGCGGCCTCCTCTGCGAGCTCCTGGACAAACGCAGACAATTATTAAGGCCGTGTTAATTTAGATTCAACTCTTTTTTCTTCGAACTTTTAACTTTTCCGTCACATCAAATATTTGGACATATGTATGGAACATTAAATGTGGACGAAAAAAATCAATTGCACAGTTTGCATGTAAATCGCGAGACGGATCTTTTGAGCCTAATTACGCCATGATTTGACAATGTGGTGCTACAATAAACATTTGCTAATGATGGATTAATTAGGATTCATCTCACAGTTTACAGGCGGATCTGTAATTTATTTTGTTATTAGTCTACGTTTAATATTTCAAATGTGTGTTCGTATACTTTAAAATATTTTGGCACACGGACTAAACACAGCCTAAGTTTCTAGTTTCATTTAAATTAAAGCATGCATGAATGTTAAGGTGTCCATTTATTAGCTTGGAGCAAGAAATGTGTACGTACCAGCTCACGAGTCTGGGAGCCTGCAGATGGAGATGGCACGGGCGTGTGGTCATTCGGAAGAAGAACTCTGTATATCCGATCAAGGCGCCGGGTTATATCGATGTGGCTGATGAAGGGGAAGACAAGGAGGTAGGAGTCGATCCTGCTCTGAACTTCTCTGAATCTCTCGGCCTGCCGACCTGCCATTACCAGCCGGTGCATCACGCTCTTCTCCTGGCAAGACATCACGAGCTCGTGTGCCTCCCGGAGCGTGTCGTCGAGGCCGACCAGCGGCCTCCGGATCTCGGGCAGACACACCACCTCCGGATCCCGCAGATGCGGCAGCAGCTCCGCGATCATGAAGGCACGGCGGGCGAGCTGCTCGCACTCCTTCTTGTTGTGCTGAGCCGTCACCGCCGCTTGCACGATCATGGAGATGAGACTACCGACGTCTGCCCCGACCAGCTGCGCCACCGTCGCCGCCTGCCCCAGACCACTCCACAGCGCCATGGCAAAGCTCAGAAACCTCGGACGCGGATTCCCTTCTTGCTGGCTAATTAACAAACGGGATCGACATGGGGAAACGAAAAAAGATGCTGCGTCCTGAAAACTTATAGTAATCCTCAGCATCTCTCCGACCTTAAGCTTAATTACTCATGACCAACAATATTTATATGATGGAATCTGTGGAAGACCTCTCGGGGAAATAAAATATGTCCTCGTTTAGTTGACAAAATGCAGGCAACTTGAATGAACCGCAATGCCATGAAGGCTGGCTGGATTCTTGGGCATGGAGATGACGGACATTGACCAGGGAAAAGGGAAAGACTGGACGATGGAAGAAGGCCAAAATGTTCAGGACTTCCGTGTGCAGGCACTGTGGAGTCGTGTTCGTTTGTTTTGCTCATCGTGCTCAACTGCTCATGCACTGCTGTGCTGATGTTGCCCAACAGTGTAACAGCGCCAACTTAATTAACGCGTTCCAGGTCATGAACGTGAGTAGATAATTACAGACAGACCACGGCGGAGGGAGTTGGAAGGAGAGGGATTCTAGTCATCCGTCTGGACTCCTAATAATTTAGGCCCCAATTGGCACAACTCTCGCTCCCAACTCATACTTATCTCCTACTTATCTGGAGCCAGAGTTGTACCATACGGTCTAGATCCTCCGTTTTTGGGAGTGAAGTTAGCAGAGCTACTTTAAAAAATAAACTATGGGGTAAAGCTAGATTTTTGCTGCCCTACAGCTCTACTCCAACCTAAAAAAACCACTACACTTATACAAAAATACCACTGAACTACCCCAAACTCACCTCCTCACCTCTCTCTCTCTCTCTTTTTTCCTCCCATTACCCACCGGACGGTAGGCAAACAGGCGGTGGGATCGACGGCTTGGGGGGGCGCGGCCGGTGGCAGGCAGCGTGTGCATGGACAGCATGCGGGCGGCGCGCGGCAGTGGGGGGACGACGCCCTAGCGGCAGCCAACGGCGCAGTCGGGGATGGCGCGCGGCGGGCAGTGCGTGGGTGGACGGCACGCGGTTGGCGGCAGGGCAGCGCACGCGGGACGGTGTCCAGATTGGGGATTGCTTTTTTTTCATTTTTTTTTCAATTTCAGATCTGGAGCTGGATGCTAGCCAAACACTTTTCAGCTGTTCTACAACTCCAACAGAAGCCAGCTCCCACTGGAGTGGAAGTTTAGAGCTAGGAGTTGGAGTTTGGAGGCCTACCAAACATGTCTACATATTAACTACATAACTATAATATTTTTTGCTAAAAAAATTAATAAGATATATTAAAATATATCTCTACACCAAACATGTAAGATTAATTCAACTTTAAGGATTTTAATTTGTATTCTATTACAACTTGTAAAAGTTGAATTTAAATTATTATGTTTGTGGAGTGATATATTACATCATGTTTTTCACAATGCTATTTTTTTCATAATCATTCATTTAGCACACAATAAATGGGCGGATGTTCACCGGTTTCCTAATATACACGTAGGTGTGGGACAATTGACATACGCGTCAAGCCGCATCAACCCGTTTGGTCAGATAATGTGAAAAAGTTGCTAATATGTTTGAAAGTTAGCTTATGGATTTACAACCTAGGCTAAAGTACCAATTTTTTGTTAGAATTGCAGCTTTGTGTTAGGCGGTTTAGCTTTGTAGATATGATGTGATGTTTAAGATTTCAATTTTAATTCATGTTTGCAGGTAATTAATTTTCAGAGGAACAAATTGGGCTCATCAGTGATCTTTGTTGCTTAAGGAGGATGGTGATACGATGAAGAGTGATGCACTTCTTTGCGATGTTCTTAGGCTTTGGGATGCTTGTTGCAATAATTTTGGGGTTTGTTTTGTTAGGGGTTTGAGCCTAAGTGCTTTTTAGGTGCTGGTTAATTGAGTGAACTCTGTGTAAGGAGTGTATCTTTACACTCTCTGAATGTTGTTGGTAATGTACACCCATATTTGTGTATTGCCCGGGTTTTAATACATTATTAAAAAAAAGGGGCAAGCAAATTAAAGATTGAAAAACAAAGGTGAGAAGGGAGGGGGAATTACCGCCGTGACCGTACGTACCGCCTCAGTGCCTTACACAGGGTGGAATCCTGTGTCTCCTATTCAGTATTTTTTGCGACGCGGCATTTCATCGAACACCTGGAGTGCAAGCCTCCGCACGCCCCTCCCGAATGCGGACCATGATGACACCCCAAAAATTCCGACGAGCACACTATTTCGCTTTTCACAGTAAGTTTGGAAGGCGGTGTTGATACGGCAGCGGAGCTCGCCGGCACATACGTCACCAGACACCCAAGATGCCAACGACGACGGCAGAAAGGCAAAACCGCCATGGATGAATCGAATCAATTACGAGAGGCGAGAGCAGTTTTGAGCTATTGAGTCTTGAGCGCGGTCAATGGCGCCTTTACAAGAAGGCCGGCCCAAGTTCGTTTCGCCTGGGGATAAGTTCACCGGTGGTCCCTCAACTTAACAGCGAGATATTTTGAGGTCCCTCAACCATAATACCAGAAATGTTCGTCCCTAAACTTATTCAAACCGTTCACCAGAGGTCCCTTGGCAGTATATGTGGGTGGTTTCGCTGACGTGGCATCCTAGTCAGCAAAAAAAATTAATATAGTACGTGGGGCTCACATGTCAGTGGCACATCTTTTTTTCTTTTCTTTTCTTCTCCTCCTCCTCTTTTCTCTCTTCTCTTTCTTTTCTTCTTCGAGTGAGGCCAGCGGGCGGAAAGGCGATGGGCGGGCGGCGGGCGAGCGAGCAGCGGCGGGTGGCGGCAGGCGAGCGCGGGCGGAGGGTCCGCGCGGCGGGCGGCGGCAGGCGAGGGCGGCCGCGCGGACGAAGCAAAGATGGGCGGGCGACGGGCGAGCGCGGCGGCGGGTCCGCGCGGCAGACAAGCAGCGACGGGCGGCGGCAGGCGAGGGCGTCCGCGCGGACGGAGCAACGATGGGCGGGCGGCGGGCGAGCGCGGCGGCGAGTCCACGCGTCAGACAAGCGGCGGCGGGCGGCGGCAAGCGAGGGCAGCTGCGCGGACGGAGCAACGATGGGCGGGCGGCGGGCGAGCGCGGCGGCAGGTCCGTGCGGCAGACAAGCAGCGGTGGGCGGCGGCAGGCGAGGGCGGCCACGCGGGCGGCGGGCGAGCGCGGCGGCGGGTCCGCGTGGCAGCTGAGCAGCGGCGGGCGGCGGCTCGTCTTCAACTGCCGCCGACACGTCGAGGGAGAAGAAATCCACCACGGGGATATCGACGAGCGTGTCCCCAGCCGCCGTGATCTCGTTGCGGAACACGGAATAGGTCGCGGTGGCGTCCTCCACCTCCTCCACCGCAGCCGAGGCAGCCGTGCGTCGTACACGATGGCCATGCCGCCCTCTTCGGCCTCCATGGCGTCTGCGGCTGGAGACGCGGTGGCGGCGACTGCTTCGGTCAGCGGCGCGCCGTCGTGCTCATCCGCCGTCGCCCCTAAGCTCTCCAGGGGCTCGCCCACCGCCGCCACGCTCCTTCTTCGGCCACCTCCGCCGTTGCGGCCCCCTCCTCCGCCTGTCATGTTTGTCCGCTCGCCCGCCGCCGCGCTCGGCCGCTACACCTTCCTCCTCCCCAAGCCACTCTTCCTCCTCCTCCACTTCCTTCCTCCGTGCTCGCCCGCCGGTCGCGCTCGCCTGCTGCCTCCCGCCACCGCTCGGCTGTCGTGCGGACCCGCCGCCCGCGCATCGCCACTCCACCGGCCTCACTCACACTGAAGAAGAAGAAGAAGAGAAAGAGAAGAGAGAAAAGAGAAAGAGAAGAGAGAAAAGAGAAGAGAAGAAGAAAAGAAAAGAAAAAAAAATGTGCAACTGACATGTGGGCCCCACGATTTTATTTATTTTTTTACTGACTAGGATGCCACGTCAGCGAAACCACCCACCTATACTGCCAAGGGACCTCCGGTGAACGGTTTGAATGAGTTTAGGGGCGAACATTTCTGGTATTGTGGTTGAGGGACCTAAAAAAATCTCGCTGTTAAGTTGAGGGACCTCCGGTGAACTTATTCCTTTCGCCTGGCGAAGGGATGTCAATTCTTCTCGTGGGCTCATCTGGCCGACCTAACCGATAGCAGCGTATAGGCGCCGAAGGTGCAGTTTTTTTCCTTTTTTTTTTCTGGGTTTTGTGGGATTTTTTTTTCACCTGAAACAGGACACAAACTGATAAGCAAGTCCTTCACATTTTAAAAGACAGCATAAACTTACGCTCTGTTTGTTTTAGCTTAAAATTATTGTAACCTAAATTATTAAGCTAGATTACTATAAGCTGGATTATATATATAGTAAGCCAATATAGAATAAGTTGTGAGCTATTCGTTTCTTTGGATTATTGGAGACATAGATTACTGGGTTTGAAATGCTAATGTCTATAATACTCTCAAATATTTTGGATGCCTTGCTCATCCTTTTGTCATTGTATACAACAAATACATGATTTGAAATAGCTAAAAGATATTGTCATATATTAATAAATAAAACATCTATCTATCTATCTATCTATCTATCTATCTATCTTCTATCTATCTATCTATCTATCTATCTATCTATCTATCTATCTTCTATTATATACTAAAAGTCCATTAAACTTCCTACAAACGCTCTCATACCGCCACATGGTGCTCTAAAAACGCTCTCAAGCTGCCACATGGCGCAATAATAAAATAGAAAAAAACTTAGAAATTCTAATAAAAAAGAAAAAAAATCTAGCCCTCGATTTTCATTTAAGTTGGTGAACCCATTAGTTTACACCATTGGATTAGATCTGTTATAAATAGTAATCTACCCCTCCTAATTTACCGAGCAATACTTTCCATAAAAAAATTGACTAGAAAAAGCTGAGAAGGCATACGTACATACGGATTAACAACCACGGCCTAGAAAAGAAGAAATAATATACAGCAAAAAAAAAAAAACTGTATACGTACGTACTACTGGAAATTAAAAAAACATCGCTTTTTTTAAACGTGGATTTGCACTTCTCTGTATTTTCTTATGACGGCCATATTTAGTGAAACTACCGAAAGAAAAGAACGCTCTTTGTACTTCCTTTGTATTTT